GCTTGGGGTTCTTGTATGAGTCAATCATTGTTTTCACTTTTTACAAGGCCCAGCCTATGGTAGGACTCACTAAATATTTGCTGAATTAAATTGGGTAGAGTTGAATTGATCTAGAGAAAATACAAGATAAGTGTCATAGTAATGGGTGAGTCAAAAAGTTTTAATTTTAAGATGTAAACAATTCTCTTTGGGATTCTTGCTTAGAATTAAATCAAAGCTAAGGGCATAACTCCACATCCTTAGCAAATTTAGAATATTTTTCTTACCGTAATTTGCTCTCCAGTTTCATTTTCTATGTCCTGCCATTCCCTTTGTCTTCATTCTCAGAGCATAGTTTCAGATAACTTTTCCCCCAAACCTGAATACCCTTTGTCCCTGTGTTGGTGTGCTATTGTTGCATAACAAAAACACACAACTTCAGTGTCTATAATAAGAAAGGTTTATCTTTTGTGTTTCTGTGGATCAGCTAACCTAGGACAGGATTGCCTATGCAGCTCTGCTTTAAGTGTGCGACTGCCTGAGCTTTCACTAAGGATTGACTTCATTTCTAGTCATATCTTCCTATTCTGGAGCCTGTCGGAAGAAACAGCAGCTTCTCAAGGAAGATCTTCTTTGTGCAACAGCAGACAGGCAAGAGGGTGGGCAGAAATCCACGGTGCTTCTTCAGGTCTGTTTGTGTCTGATACATTTCCACTCACATTAAATCGTCCCAGGCAAGGCACACGGTCAAGCCCAATATCATTGAGATGGGGGAAATAAAAACTGCCCACTTGAATAAATGGGACCTGTAATTAAATGCAAAGAGATGAGTGTACAAATCTAGTTCAGAAAGGACAAAAAATTGTGGTGATTCTAACAATGATCTTGATTCTGGTATTCACCACAATTTTCTAGGTAATCCTGTGTTCCTTTTAGTTAATCTCTTAGTGTTTTGTCTTTCCCACTCTGTGCCTTCACCCATTTTCTTTAAAAAGTTTACCAAGTAAACTTCCTTAAGACAAACTGTGATTGTTATACACAATTGACTTAAAAATCACAGCAACTTCCTAATATCATACCTTATTGTTTAGAATGCTTTTGGTTGCTTACGATGGAAAGCAAGTTAATAATTACTTATGTCTTACAACAAGAAATTTAAAGAAAGCATTTTACGATTGGTTTAAGTCAGGTTTGTTGTTGTATTATCAAAATAGCTTCTATCCTCAAGCTTGCCTCATGGTGACAAGATTGCTACAATAGCTCCAAGCATCACATCATTACAAGGTGATCTTCAAAATTGGAAGAATAAGGATAAAGGCTTTCCTTAAATTCCTTTCTCCTTTTTCAAGGAAGAAAAAAAAAAAGCCCCGTAGCTTTCCCACTCACTTCTTTTTACATTTCATTGACTAGCCTACCTAATCACCCAGAGATCCAACAATAGAGGTAGAAGTTAATGCAGGTCATTTCCAAGTTCCGTCTTGTGATGAATTCTAACAAGAAAGAAGTTAGAAGAGGAATGGCTTGTATACAGGAGATCAGTGATGTCTGCATACTTTCAGATAACTTAGCCTATTTGATAAAAAGTAACACACTTCATAGCGCTATCTTTGTCTTCTTTTTAAATTTTTATTTATTTATTTTTTTGCAGTACCAGGGATTGAACTCAGGAGCTTGCGCTTGCAAGGCAGGTTAGGCACCACTGAGCTAAATCCCTGGTCCTCTTTACCTTCTTTGAAAGCTTAATAAGAACCAAGAGAGTATGTAAGGGTGCATATCTCCAATGATGACTGTCATTACATTGCACAACTAAAATGTACCAATAAAAGGATTAAAAAAAAAAAAGCTTAATTCATCAAGATTTCTCTAAACAAGGAGCAAACATTTCCCGCAATACACCATTCCATTCTTCTTGATGCATGTCTCCCCCATCTTTCCAAAATGCCCTTGTCCTTCTTTCTTACCAGTCGTCCATCCATCCTTTACTCATTCCTGAGGATTCAGTCCCTCTTGGGGACATCTCCCACAGACACTCAAGGGATTCCGATAACCTCACATTGTGTCTATGCTTCCCAAGGATAGCATTTTCCATAACTAGGTCTTCTTGCCCATTTACTGAAATTCTGCCCCTCCAACAAGACAGTTTTAGAGGGTAAGGAGTGAATCTTGGATTTTTTTTTATTATCAATGCCCAATACGTCTATCTTTATATTACAGAGTAGACACTCTAGATTTTCTTTTCAAATAATTGAGTGAATGAAAGAGGAAATGTCTTTGTCTCTAGCTTCTTATCTCCACCTATGAAAAATAAATAAAAACAAAGCAAAATTCTGCAAAATTTCATATTCACTTCATTAAAGAATCTAGTTTTCTTGAATGACCTTTATTTCACAAACTTTCTCTCTTCCTTCTCTTCCCCCTTTCCTTTCTTGTTCTTCCCCTTCCCCTTCATCCTCCTCCTCCTCTTCTTCTCTTTCTTCTTCTTCCACTTCCACTTCCTCCTCCTCTTCTCCCCCAACAGTTTCACTGTCCCCCACATCTGCACTAAACGGAATGATAAGACCTAACCCTACACAAAATAATATCTTTCGTAGCATTCACGTTGTATGCCACATTCCTGTCTTGTTTTGTATGACTTTTGGTCAGTTCTATTAGCCCCTACAATATTAAAAATATCTTGATGTCTGTCACAACCTAACAGGCCTACATCATGGCTGTGGAAGATAGAAAATATTCAATAAATATTTTTAATATTGACTTTAATTCTGAAATCTATTAGTAAGTTTTTAACTTTTTAGCAATTCTTCCTGATTATAATCTCTCTTACAATTTAATCCTATGATCTGAAGTTCTGGGTTATTTTTTTCCTACATAATATTTTATATTACTCTTTCTTACAGAGCTGCTCACTTTTGGAACACCCTTGTTACATGACCAAGTGTCCAAACCAAATTCCTACTTTTTTACACTATGTCTGTTTTGAGTTTATCTTCTGTATTTTGAATAAAATTGTGCATTTCCACAGCAGAGTGCACTATTTGTGGTGCATTAGCCTTAATTTCTTTCCTCCATGCTAAATTTTACTAATTCACACCACTAACTTTTCCCAAAAATGGATGAAAATCATCACTTCCTAGAAGGCTCATGATCCTTCATCTTCATCTTTACATTCTGCTTTGCTCCATTACATATTTCCTTCATTTGTAATTATATTTTTTAAAGTGTATCAATTCAGACAGTCATTCAAGAGATGTTTATAAAACTTCCACTCTGTGTCAAATATTGTCTGTCTAGGAACTAGGGACCTAGTAATAAAGGAAATAGGAATGGTTATCCTTTTCTGTGTTTTGTATTCTAAGCAAGGGAAACAACTAATCAGTGAACACAGGTTCAGTTAAGAGCTCTGAGTAAAGTAGCACAGGGAAAGTAAAATAGATGATGGGTATTGATGGACACCATTTTTAAACGGTGAGTAGGAAAAGCTACAATGAGAACATGTTACTGGATCGTAGACCTCAGGCAATGGGGCTCCATGCAGAGGAATAATGAGTGCAAAGTCCCTGCAGCAGAAGTATGGTTGGCAGAAACTAACAACAGAGGCAGTGGGGCAGCAGGCAAGTTTAGTGCCAAGAAGGAAGGACCCAAATGAGATCAGTAAGTTAGTGGAGGTCAGAGTGTCAGAGCATGTACAATTCTGTAATTCGCAATAGGGACTTTGATTTTATTCTGGTCAAAATAGGAAACCTTTGGGCTCAGTTCATATTAGTTTGATTGTTGGTAATAAATCTCAGTGCTACTGAAAAGGTTCTTGAAATGGATTATGGTGATGGGTGCAAAATACTGTGAATGTACTTCCTGCCACTGAACTGTACGTAAAAACTGTTAAAATGGTAAATTTTATGGTATGCGTTATTTTACCACAATTTGGAAAAAAAATTTACATGTGCACACTGTGGGCCAGAGTCAGTGCTAAGTGCTGGCAACTATAAGAATACATAGATGACTCAGAGACTCAGAATCTGCTTCAAGAGAATATATTCCAAATATCATAAATGTCAGTACACAATGGAAAGTAGCATAAATCACATTCCAAATGAGAGAGGTAGGGTAGGACCTTGCACGATGTGTTTATGGTTACATTAGTCCAGAGAGATGCTCTCTGAAAGGAAAGGACCTCATGCAAATTAGTTTGACAAATAACGCTTCCTCTACACCACCACAGAAATTCACAGTGTGCACTGGCATATCAAAAGCTGTAACAACAACAACAACAACAACAACAGCAGCAGCAGCAATAAACTTTAAGGAAATCTGTTCAATTGTGTTTAATCTGATGTTGCTAAGCCACTTTGTCACAGGTCCTTTTCCTGCATCACCTCTGGACATCCTGAGGGACTGCCGTTCCGAAGAACCTATGCTTCAGGAGATGAAAAGCTGAGATAGGAAGGAAAGAGTTTGAGGAGAAAGTGAGATCCAAGCTGATTCCTAAAGGAAAGGCGATACTTAGATTAGAGGAAAGAAAGCCCATTCAAAGCAGGACGCATGTAAAATAACGCATTGCAAAATAACTCTCCTGCAACAGGCCTCTTCAAATGCCACTGAGCTGCAGAATTGATGTCCTAAATGTACCTATATAATCATAATTTTGATGACCACTGAGAAACTTCTGAAACATGAACAACACTAAAGGCTGAGATTAATTACTTTGTGGAAATTACCTTAATTCTTTGTCATTATTTTATGGACGACAAAGTTAAGGCCCAGAGAGACTATAACTGACTCAGTCATCTCTGCTTAATCGATGGCAGGGTGTCAGTTTTCTTACTCCAGGGCTAGGACCCTGTTCCATAAAGAAAGAAGTGATGGTCTTTGTATGTCTGCCACAGACACTCTGAAATTAAAGCAAAAAATCAATTCCTATGCAAGATGAAGATTTTAGCATGCACTGGATATGGAAACAGAATAAAATTAAGGAACAACGCAAGCTTCGATTTTAATGAAGCTCATCTTTGTTTCTTTTGCAGATCAAATTTTTGGCTCTCATCTGCACACAGTGTGTGAATGTGAAAATTCCACAGTTCCATGGTTTGTAAAGCAATGCATTGAAGCTGTCGAAAAGCGAGGTGGGTAACTGAATATGCAGCAGTTCTTCTCATTGCTGCACCTTCTGAATAACGGATACTCAAGTTAGCAGCGCTACCCTGTTTGTCTGGGAAGCTGTGCAATTAAAAGTTCACTTTTGTTAATCAGTTAAGAGGATCAAGTTTCTTACTAACTTCAGTGTGTTTCTACAATGGGGACATTAGTAATTCTCACTAATGTTCTTTTTTTTTTAATATTTTGTCTGTCTGACATACTGTTGATTCAATTGCAAACTTCTTGTTTCCAAGCCAGTGTGATAAAACATTCATAAAATATCAGCACTCACAGTGTTAGAACCCTCCTAACATTCATGCTGGTAGATATTGTGCCAGAACAATTTTTGGTAAGCCCCCAACATTACCCAAGTGAAGCAAATAATATTTTTACTTGCAGAAAATGATGCCCCGTCTTCCACATGTTTCTATTCAGTGCAGAGTACAGCTTACTGGTTTTCCTGGAACAATTAACAGGTACACCTCCACTGTTAGGGTGACCTTTCATTCCTCTTCTTCAGCATTCTGTTTTTCCTATGAAATTATTTTATCATGCAGAACAGAGCAAAATAAACCCAATTGACTCATAATTTCTATGCTAGTCTATGGGGTGTTTTTCCTTCAAAGTATGACTTCATTCATTCACTCAAGGTCATTTTTCCTGGAAGATACACATAGTAGATTTAGAATCTTAAAAAATGTATTGTATAAAAATGTGAAACTTCATCACCATCTGTTACAAGTTTACAACATATTCCCAGGATCTAGGGGGATATATATCATGCAAAAGATAGAGGTGTTTGCAGAAAAAAATTATCAGTGAACCCATTCTCCTTTCAACCTCCTCCTTTCTTAAAACAATAGAACCAAAGGGAAAAAATCTTTACCAAGTAATCTGCTAGGAAAAAGCCATTTTAATTCTTTCAATGTTACCTGCCTTTATTATAGAAGCATAATAAAAATGTTCTGCAATTTCTAACTCCTGGAAATTCATACTTTAATTATATGGTAAGGACAGCCTTGGGATCCTATTATTCCCATATCAGTAGGGAATGAGAAAATAACAAAGAGGGAGGAGTGGGTAGGGAATGTGGATATAGACAGTGGCTTTGGGGAAAGCAAATGAACACATCAGAGAGAAGAGCTGAGGGTACTGTGAAATAGTAGAAAACAGTAAATGCAGAATAAACATGAGGTGAGGTGTCTGTGAGGACCGAAGTAAATTGGAATTTAGAGAGAAATGTGTTTTTATTGTGTATTTCAATTTCATTTAATTTTCGAGGAACATATCTTAGGAATAAATATTATTTAATACGTACTTACAGTAAAAATGGATCACTGAGAATATTACAATGTTATTATTTCCAATAGCTGAATTATCATTGTTCCCAGGAAATCTTCATTTGCTTACACATTCTCAGTACTGACTGTGTGAGTACTGTTATATGAGACCAAAAATCCAAATAGGACATTGGGGGAAGCTACATGTAGTAGGATGTGTTCTAATACGAAGAGGAGCTCTATACATCTTGGTTTATGAATTTACCCTAGGCAAACTGAAAAACTCTGCTACATGAAAGGCTTGCAGTGTGCAGATACTATAATACTGTAGAGTAGAAAATGTCTATAAATAGAAATGGAATCTTTTGTTCATTGAATTTTATTGGTGATTTTTAATAAAACAAAACAATGTTTTGCTGATAGTAGCAATCATAGCTGGCATTGTATTTCATTGTCCCAGTGTTTACTCTTAAAATGAATTTGTAGATGCAGCACTAAACAGGCACTAATCACACATATGATTATTAAAATAATTCCTGAGCATTTTAATGAAACTCAAAGACTACAGTTCTGCAAAGCAACTGATAATTCAAAGCACTTTGGCAATATCAGCTTAAAGGAACTCTATGGAAATGTCCAATAAAAATTCAGGAGCACAAGATAAACGTTTCACATCATTGCAAGATTTACAAGTGTGTACTTTTGATTATATTTTTCTATGATCATTTTGTTGGATTAATATTCTTACATTTATACGCCAATTCTGTTTACTCAAAGTGTTGTTTTTACTAAATTCTGGCATACAGTACCTCAGGCCAGAAATAATTTATGTGAATCTAAGTCCAATGTTTATGCAAGCTTCTGATGACATTTTATGCTGGGGTTGGTATTAGGAAGAAGCATATGAAGGTGCCAAGTCTCCCAGCATGGCTGGGACTCAGCGTATCGAGAGCCTCTTTCTAATGGCCAGATCCTCTTGAAGCCAAGACGCTCAAGTGTGGAGTCATGGGAAATGCTTATGGACCAGTTATGGGAAAGGCACTTTTAATGAAAATTGAGTGTTTACTCTCCCAGTCTTAGGAAAATGTCCTTCATTCATTCTCGCTACAGCAGCACACTGGCTATTATTTTTTTTAAAAACAATTGCAAAGATTTCTTTCCTTTTGCTTTTTTCTTGAGATTATTTTCTTTTTTAAAAAAACCATCTATAGGGCCGGGGATGTAGCTCATTGGTGCTGTGCCTGCCTGCCGAGCACAAGGTCCTGAATTTGATCCCCAGTACCAAAAAAATCATCTGTAAAATGTAGTTACATCTTTTAAAATGTTCTTTATACATTTGATTTAAAATGAAGCACTACAAGGTAAATAGATCTTACTATTTATTCAAGTAGTTATTTGTTTCAATGCTTGTGATGACAGAACCAAATTGCTCATTCTTCTGTAGTCTTTATTCACCTCCAGTTAGGTGGTACTAGTTACTTTTTAAATTTTGCATCTCTTAGACTTGCCAGAAGGAAATCTATTCGTGAGCCAAATGTAAAGCCATTTGACAGAGGACTTATTTAGTATGCCTCCTTATCTGGATTTGGTTTCCTTTATTTCTCTATACCACCGGGGTACTCTCCTCCTCACCAGCTAATAGGAGTAGATTAAAGCCCTTTTGGTGGTTTTGAATTGCTTGCATTGAAAATGCACAGGAACCTGGGAGGACAAAGAGTCAAGGAATATGTCATTCTTTAGAGCTCTTCAGGGGCTCCTTCTTCCTGCATTGACTTTATAGTCATAGACCATGGGTAGGAGATATAATAATTAGCCAATGAAAATATCCACTTGTTTCTTTACCAGAAACAATTTCCATGAAAATAATGACTTATTCAGCCTACATTCGATTCATATTTTTTTTGTAAAATGAGATCACTTGACACTTTTATTGAGGATTTTAGAAACAAGAATGTAGAGAGGGGGACATTGTGATATATTCATGCTATGTAAATATAACCAGCGAGAAGTCAAGTTTTCATTATTTTATAGAATACTTTGTGCAGTTTAGGATGATGTCAAATATGTATAGAAATTGCTTACTTAAAAATAAGGCCATTTGTACCTGTTAGAGACAAGAGCCTCATACATGAACTAAAACATATAGTCTAAAGTGGTGTAATAGGTAATAAGACCTTAACTCATAATTCTTTATGTGTAAAACATGCAACTGACTGACTACCATTTTTTAAAGTCCAGTATTCGGAAAGAAGCTTATGGAAAATGGGACACATTTTAAGCAGTCCATGAATATCAGTTGAATGAAGAAGCAGACACCAAGTGTCTGCTTCATCCAGGAAAAAAGTGCCTTCTGAGTCCCTACCATGCATTATGCTACCAAGGAGTTGCAGGAGAGGACAGTAAGTGAACAGACGCGTGCATGAATATAGCCAGACAGACTGCCATAAGTGGTGTGACCGAAGAGAACAGGCACTACGAGAGAGAGTAAGAACCACAGAGATAAAAAGGCGGGAGAATCTGTGTGCTGAGAAAAGGAGATACTAAATTCTGATCATAAACACATACTTTTCTGGTTTTAACCACTTTATTAGCCCTGGAGAAGTTGTGTTGCCCTATTTACTAGGTTATTTTCTTTCTTTCTTTCTTTCTTTTTGGTACCAACGATCGAACTCAGGACCTTGCGCTTTTGAGGCTGGTGACGGTGACAGCATCACTGATCTAAATCCCCGGCACAAGGTTCTTTTCTTGACACATTGTGGCAATGCAATATGCAGAGGAACATGATGTGAGATACAGTACCCTAAGAGACATGTTGTAAATGCAAAACAAGTCTTTCCTATTTTTCTGTTTTGTTGTATTTGTAGTCCAGGGTGGCCTTGACCTTGCTATGTATCACAAGCTAGCTTCAAACTAACCTCTTCCTGCCTCAGTCTCCTGAGTTCTGGGGTTACAGTTAAATAAGAAACATATTTTTCAAATCATATCAGGCTTATCTTTTATTTCTTTTTCTTCTCCTTCTCCTCCTCCTCTTCTTCTTCTTTATTTTTTCCAATGCTAGGAATTGAACCCAGAGTTTCAGGTATGCTAAGCAGGTACTCTACTGCTCAGTTATATTCCCACCCTCTACCCATCACTACCAAACATGTACCTTTCAAAAGACTTCTTTTATAAAATGACTGAGTTAACTAAATGAACCAGTACATTTCTACTTTAAACATCCTTTTGAACATCTCATATGTTTTTGCTTGTTTGAGAATAGGAGTGATTTTTTTAAAAAATTAATAAAACTTAGATTGCCGTTCATCATTTGGAATACAATCTAACAATTCATTCTTCTTTCAAGATTTCCAGTTGTGGCTATCATACCCCCAAACTATTTAACAAATTAAGATGATACTTAGAGATCTGTTGCACAATAATTTGGATATGCATAACACAACTGAACTGCACACTTAAAAATAGTTAAGATAGCAAATTTTATGCTATATGCTCTTCACCACAATTTTAAGAAAGAGATACCATGTTTACCAAATTTAAATGCCAGGCATAAGTACTTCACAGAACACCTTAGCAGATATAATTACCAAGAACTTTGTCCTCTCTGTTTTTTTCCAAAACACAAAAATGCTATGACAAGAATGATATACAAAGTTACATATTTCACTGAGTGCTAAAAGCCACCCTGGGATCCATAACCTTGCTTAAAG